ACTCCCACAGCCCCTTCTAGGGAGCCCTCTCCATGTAAATGAAATGTCATGGCAATCCAAGCTCTAAGTGTGGGAGTCCTATACCTCCTTCCTGCCCGGTCTGAGGGAATGCAGAGAAACCTGCCCTCCAGGGGAAGGCTGGCGTTGTAGTCCTGCTTCTGGCACCCGCTGGCCCAGAGCTGCTCTGTGCCTCTGTTTGTTCTTCCATGACCAGGGAACGCTCATACCCATTTTACCTCTGGAAAGGGCTTTTTCTAAGCCTTTATATGTGAAGGACTTTTTCACCATGCCAGACTAAGCAAATAGATATTATCATTATTTACTTGTATAAAATGCAAATTATGTGTCATTCATTTATTAAATTATTTTATATTAATATATTCATTCTTAGTAGGCCTTTCACATACATGAAATGCATGTTGCTAGAAATCTTGTCTGTCCCATTCACCATTGCAGACAAGAGAGATGATGGTGCTGATGGTCCTGACAGACTGTGAATGTCATCTTCACTTCGCCCTGCCTCAGTTGTTTCCAGCTTTTAAAGAAAGGGCCATTCTTCCAAATGCTCTGGGAAGTGGACCCTTGGCTGATCTGACTGCAAGCAGAGGACTGGTGGCAGTGTCCCAGTCTCTCAGGATGCATGGCCACCAGAACCGGCTTCTGGATGAGCTGTTATAAAATGTAATGGCCAAACCTGGTGCGCCGTGCTGTGACTGGGGAGAATGAATGCAGGTGGCTGCCTCGCCTGGCTATGTGTCTCCTCCCTTAAGGTGACGTAGTTTGTTTTGTGGATAGTAAGCTCGCAGGCACTTTGCATGGAGTCCTGGTGGAGGAGATCCTGGTATTCATCTGGACATAAATGCAAGACATGAAGAAGATAAAGCAGATATGACTGAAGCCTGTGAAACTGAAGCTCTGGGAAAATGAGCTTAGCCTACGTGAAGAGCAGCTTCACATACCCAGACAGCGGCATTGGGTTTACTGATGTGACTGCAGCTGGAGAAGGCCATGCAGCTCTTTCAGAGGAAACTGGGCCAAATTATGGTAAAAGGGATGTGCTGAAAATCAGAGGAGCATGAAGCATAGCAGCATCAAGGCAAAAAGAATGAGGAAGTGGAAGTTGAACACGTCAATCAAATTCTGCAGTGAAGGCCAAAAACAAGGCTGCAAGACTCAAAAATAAGAGCCAGAAAAGAAATCAGTTTAGATGAAATGCCCAATTATTGTTTCAACTGCATCAGCAGCATGCTAGTGAAACATGCAAGTGTGAAGAGCTTGAGCAAGCCTCCCCTCAGGGCCATGAGCCAGATGCTGAGGTTCCTCCGCTCAGGGGGAGCCAGTGCCACCCAAGCTGCTCCTGATGCGAGGCTGATAACTGGGCTCTGGGCCACAGCCAGCCGATGAATAAGGGACCTCCCTCCCTGAGGGAACCGGAGTTCCACCAGCTGGAACATCTTTTTGCTGTGGTGCAATCTTGAGTTAAGGATTTAGAAACCTTGGGCAGGAGGCAACATGACAGGTGACAGCCATTTGCATTCATAGTCAAAACTTTGCCAAACTCCCGTGGGCAAGATCAATCAGGCACTGGAGTTCAGTTCATAGCTTCTCACAGTGGGTTAACACATTGGTGAGTAAGGCGTGGTGTTGTGTGCTGGCCTGTGTAGGCTCCAGACAATTCCAAGAAGACACAGCCCTTGCCTCGAGGGCTTTTGCTAGGCCAAGTTCCCAACTGCATAGGGAACATGCAATGCAGGCAGTTTCTATTTAGCTTTGGAACATGTACAAGCCGGCACTGGAAATTAGAAGAGCATTTTCTTAAAGAAGCATTGTTATAGATGGTGTTTAGATCCCCAAGCCAACCCTCAAATTTTTCTTTGGCTAAAAATCTGTCTGAAATACAATGGTAATAGTTCTGTGGAATCTGATTGCTGGGTCTAGCAATATGTCTTTGGGGAAAATGAATTCAAGGGCCCGAAGTAGTCATCAGGGTTCATTTTCCCTCCATGTAGCCTGGACAGCCTGAGAGGATGCACATCTTCCTCTGCTTATCAGCAGCAGCAAAGGAACCACCACTGCTTCCGGTTTGTCACTGATGAGGCTCTTGCGGGGGCCATGGGGACAGTGGGAAGCAGGCAAAGTGGGCACAGGGCTCTCACGGTGCAAGAAACGGGGAACAGGGTAGGGCCTGGCTAGTGCAGGGCCAGCCCGGCTGGCTGCTGATTGAGCCATCTTCAATTCTGTCAGCATCAGGGGCGTTCTGCCACCTGACTGCCTTCATTCTTCCATTCCTCCTTTTCTTCATGGATGGTTCTAGGTGCCATTGGGGAGGAAGGATTTCCCTCTACCCTTCAAGGTTCTTCTAGGCCTAAGAATCCAATTGATGTGAGGTAGATTAACAGGAGAAAAAAACAAAGTTTGATTATGTGCATTCAGGGAATCCACGGCTGTGAGGTTCCAAGGACAGTGCGTATGAGGTATATCTGTTATGAGGTATATATGAAGGGGGGAGGGGCCTGGGACTTCAAAGGGAAAGGGAAGCAATTCACAGGATATGAAAGAGTGTTTGCTAAACAAATGCTTAATGAGCCACACAGAAACAATGGGCCACAGAAAGGGATTTTAACAGGTTTTGCCACATTCGTCCCTGTCTACTGCACCTAGCTCATATTATAATGTGGTTATCTGTGGTGATACCTCTCTTCCTGGGCCATTCTTCCATCTGCACTCTTTTTATGCAGTTAACTTGCATAGGTCAAAATTTCTCTCCAGGCCTTTGGCCCTTGACTGCTTACAGGTCTGACCTAATCTGCCTGCTGCAGCAGCGTACCTTGGGGCGGCCTGCCCTTGGCCCCTGCACTGCTATTGTATGTCAGACACTTTGCTAGGCACTCTCCTGAGGTCCTGAGAGGAACTTTACAGAGGTCTTATCCTTAAGAATAGAACTTTTCTTAAAATTTAAGCTCCAAATAAGAAACGCTCATTGACTCGCCAGTGCCTAGGAGAGTATCTGGCACATAGTAGCTGTTCATTAAATATTTGTTGAACAAATGAAGGAGCTCATGGTGATAGATTATGCACAGGACAATATGACATTGGAACTGCTCCTTCCTAGCATGGCCTGCCAGGCCCTCCCTGCCCTCCTTCATCTTTACGGTCTCGTATGCCCAGCCCTGCCTTGGTTCTGCGGACCTCGTTCAGGGCATTGATTCCCTTGGATCTCGGCTCACAGTATTCTTTCTTTCTAGCATCCCTGTCTTAGTCTAACCCTTTCCACCCCTTCTCCCTACTCTACATACTTCCTTGACTAACTCCTATCTTAAGGTTATTAATTTCTTTAACAAATAACCAGTTGAGCACCAACTATGTACAAGGAATTGTTCTGGAGCAAGGGTCCTGAAATGGTGGGAACAGAACTGGTTTGAGAGCTGAAGTAAGCCAAGATCCTGGTTGGGCTTCATCAGTTCCAGAAAGCCTCCGTTATGCTCCCCAGGAATATTTCAGGTGTATCCTCAGAGCTGCCATGATCCTCTGCTCATAATTCCATCATACTCTGCATTCTCATGGTGTTAATAAAATCATATGTGATGAGTCTGCCTTCTTGTCTAGAACACAGACTTTTAAAAGGCAGTCACGTTTGGTGTCAGGAGGACCCAGGAGCCAACTTGAAGGGGCTCCCGCTGGCCAAATCTGGATATTTGGATGTTCAGCTTAGTGTAGTGCACAGTATGTTGAAGGCAATTGGTAAATGGAAATACAACAATGAATGAATGAATTGAACCAAGTTTGGTAACAGTAGTTATCAAAGCAACTGTGAGCTCAAAATTAAACCATGAGCTTTACCCGAAGTGAAGCTAGTCCATTTAGCCAGGTATGTTCCAGGCCACAACCTCTCACAATCAACCAGAGTGAAAGAGAGAGAGCCTGTAATAATACTGGAGGAGGTTCCTACTAACCTGGCCGAGTGGGTCAAGGGAGGAGTTGAGGGCCATGCAGGCATTTTCTTAAAACGACAACATTAAAGCCTTTTTGGTTGTTCTGGCACAGAGATGACTGTGCAGGTGGTGTAATTTTAATTGTCAAGGGGCCACTGGTTTCATAATCCAGTTATACCCTAAGAAGAAAATTTAGGGAGCCCACATAGGGCTGCTAACATTTCACTTGTTGAATAAGGTCATTAAAAAATTTGATCTTGCTATTATAACTCCTTCAAACAAACCCTCAAATGAAAGGGGGAAATCATGCACCAATCAAATGCATTTAGCTTTAGGAAAAATTCACTCTGTCTTCATTGTTATCATTTTGCTGGGCCCCAGTGAAGTTATTTTGAGCAATCTGCAATGACGGTTGGGAGTGCCTTTAACAACCTGTAAGAAGTGAACTCAGAGGAACACACCATCCCGACCAGGGTGTTCTGGGGGGAAGTCAGCATCTGGATCTTGAAGGTCCGGTAGGTGGGCAGTCTGGGCTTGCCATCGGCCATTTGAGGACATTTTCTCCAGCAAGGTGTCCAAAAGCAATTCGAAGATCAAGAATATACCTACTTCTCAAAGGCGGTTCCTTGAACTAAGTGTCACATTTTCAGTTGACAAATACAAGGACTGCCTGTACTTGTCTGGTGTTTCTACTGTGTGTTCATTTGGAAATGATCCCTTGCAGTCGTGAACAGCGAGTACTTCCTCCCAAGCGAGCAACCTCCGTTCTCAGAAGGCGGGTTCCTCTCAGAGGAGAGAAGGCGAGAGCAATGGACGAGGGCGCCTTCTCCCTGTAACTTCGACATACCAGCTCTGCCGCGGGTTGTTTGTCAGGGGATGGAAGTCACTCACATAAACCTTGAAACTTTGGCTGCCCCGAGAGGAAAAACCTAAATTTCTCTTAAAAGGGTTTGGGCAAGAGAAAAGGACAGTCCCACTGTCAACATTCCTAATCTCTCTGGGTCACTTTGGGTGTTGAACAGCAAATATCTAAGGCAGGTGAAATCTGCTCTTCTTTAATTAAATTAGGTTGACACAAATGAACAGCTGAGAAGAATAGCCCAAATGAGGATCGTTGAATACGACTACAAGCCAGAGTTCGCGTCTGTGATGGGCATAAACACTGCCCATCAGACAGGTACACACACAGATTACCTTTTACATTTTGTATTGTCAACTATTAAAGATTCAATTCCTTCTTTTATCTGGAGGTTGTGAACTGTGGCATTTGGCAAATTTTGTTGGCCTAACATCCAGTGTGAAACCTATAGTCATGAGAACAGGAAAGGTTAAATCACTGGGTCATCTGTTTTCAAACCCCTTCACCACTCCCACAACCCATCATATGTGGAGTATTCTGAATGTATTGTATCTCTTTCCTGGAGTCCTGTTGCTCATGAGCTGAGGGCTCGGCAGCAGCACCGTCAGTCCTGGCATTGGAGAGACAACGTGGTAGGGTATGTGGGTCTGCGTCAGAAAAGGGGCAAAGTGGTATTTATACGCCAACCCAGGTGTGTCCTAAAGAAAGGCCGGCTAGGCAGCAAAGTCCTCTGGCAGGAAAAGAAAGGCAGTCAAACTAATGCCCCACCCTACATCCATGTATAGGAATTTCAAGGTATTTGCTCACTCTCCCCAACATTTGGCCCAAAGTCTCAAGGAAAAGTGGAGAAAACGACACTCCAGAAAGGTCTTTCCCTAACTAAGCCTGTTTGCACGTCTGTGACTAGGCATGATTGCCCAGGAGGTTCGAGAGGTCCTGCCTAGAGCCGTGAGAGAGGCCGGAGACGTCACGTGTGAAAACGGAGAGACGCTGGAGAGCTTCCTCATGGTGGATAAGGTAACCGCGGAAAGGCACCCGCACGGGGCACCCCCGCTAGGCAGCACGGTGCACACAGCCAGCGGGACAGGACAGGGAGCAGAATTCCTACGAGCTGTCGGGGGAGCTGGCGTCAGGTCCGCAGCACAGGTCAAAGGTACCAGAAAGAAGTCCCACTAGGGAGAAAGAAAACGGGTTTTGCAGCAGCAAGCCTAAGAGTTCAGTGGGGGTTCTTGTTGGAGGAAAACCGGCCCTGGGAAAGTCCCCTTATGGGGAGCTCATAGAACAAGAACTGAACATCATAAGCCATAGCGACAACCTTGATTAGACTTTGTGTTTAAAAATGGACCTGAAACCTTATGATGGTGTAATTTATCTCGTGATATCATTTTTCAAAACAATGTGCTGTTTCGAACGATTACACGTTGAATGAAGTGTTGAATTTTTTTGAGCATAGTTTTTCAACAAAACTATGTAATTGGCTTTCATGGCACAATCATAAAGTGGGTCATTTGTGCAAAGATATTCATGAGACTTGTCATTTTTCCCAAAGGCATATCTTAATTCTTTGATATTCAAATCATTCTCCTTTGAAGGAATGTCACCATCCTTACATATTAGCTCCCCTGCACATGTTAAGGGCTTTTGGTCTGCCGTTTCCTCGCTGGCTGTTGCTTTGTGTGGGATTTGAGTAGTTCTCCAAGGTCACATCTGTTAATTCTGTGAACTCCTGCAGCTGTTGCAATGTTTACAAACTCCCCACGCTGCTAATTTGGTTATGTTGCAGTTATATTTGATGCTGGAGGAGAGACTGATTGACATGGAGATTTTATAGTTAGTAGGGAGAGGTGTTTGTTTTGTAATTTGTAATTTGCCGGTTCACAGGGGCAGTGCTTCTCACACTCAGAGTGTACAGGAATCACTGGGCGATCTCATTAAAAGGCAGATTCTGATTCAGCAAGAATGGGATGAGACCTAAGATTCTGCATTTCTAACCAGCCTCCAGGTGACGCCCATTTTGCCTGTCCTGTTGGTTAGCAAGCCACGCTTGGAGTAGCAGGGTAGAGGGTACTTTTCCACAGTCAGCTACCTGCAGGCTTGTGGACAAATACTTAGATAACAGGTCTGGGCTGCAAGGGCTGAGTGGTGAAAGTCGAGTTACTTCCTCCTGCTTCCCAGGACAACCGCTTGGACAGAAGAGATCACCTTTGGTCTCTCTCAGACCTAGACTATCACAACCCTTGAGGGGTGTATCATGAGAAATTGATTTCTAATAATAAAGTACTGAAGTTTTCCAATTGTTTACTTAAAGATATAAAATAAGGGATATTTAGAGGTATTCCTATTCCAAAGTGACCCTCTCTGTCTTGCACTTTCATAAGCTACCAAGGCTGAGAGAAAAGAGTGTCAGCACAGCCCTGGGAGTGTGCCACCAAACTCCTGGCATTGCTCACCTGGCAGCAGTCTGTCACTCCTGGCTGTGGCCCCCTCCAGAACACCTAGGAAAGATCTGTGTTCTCTGTGTAGGTAATGTGCATAAGGCCTCATGACTGTCACTGTTCAGCAAGAGAATCCATTCTCTTTCTGGCTCAGGATCTTCCCCCTCTGTTGAGTTGAACTAGTAACAGGCAGGATTATTTGGAACAGGAGTTCCCAGGAGTGCCTACAACCCATCTCCATTCCTAGGAAGGCAAGTCCCCTGCTCTGGGAAAGTAGAGGGTGGCAGTCCTGTTCCAGGCAGCCAGGCCTGTTCGTCTCCTGAACAGCAATCCATGCCAAAGTGGCATTTGGTTTATAACAAGTGAAGCAGGGGTCCCGAATGCAACAGTTCAATCCTCTTAGTAACAGGACCTTGTAGTGATATCATCTATGGAGGCAGCACTAAGGCCACACTCATTTATGCACCACATAACACTAAGAGCAGGTAGGTTCCAGGCTGGTCCTGAGAGTGACGCAGCCAAGCAAACCACCTCTGCCCTCTGAAGCCTTGCTTTCTCTTCTGGATCTTCTGAGGACAGACTTCAATTGCCTGTTTAATTGTCAACCCTGTGGAATATCCCTCTCTCCATTGTAAGTACTTTGCAGAGTGTCTCCTTTATTTTTGCTCATTAAGAATCCAGGGAAGGTGGCCCCTGTTGTCCCGGGCTCCTGTTAGTTGTACAATAGACAAGATGTACAGAGAGCCTCTTGTTTCCTGGCTTTCAACCCATCCACCTGGGCACCGTGGTGGCTTTGATCGCAACATCCAGGGCTACTTGTTTTAAGGAACTTTGGTAGGACCTCCTGGGCTTCATGTGTTGTAGTAATAGGTGGAGATCAGATTAAGATACAGTATCTCCCTCTGCCCTTCATTTCTTTTCCACCAGATGTCCCTTTTTTAAAAAGAAATTTTCACTGACGCAAAAATGCAAACTGGAAATGCACATGAAAATGTTGAAATGTTGTGCCCCATGATTACTCTATCATTTCCATGTGTACTCTGTAGCTTTATGCCAAAATGGGAAAAAAAAATGGCTGGATCTTTACAGACTGTCCATACAACCAAAGGTGGAGGAGAGAAGGTGCTGTCAATCCAAGTTGGCAGAAATCACTTTTCTTTCTCTTTTTAACAGGAGAGATTACTTTTCAAGATATGCGTCTCTCACCTGGGGTAATTTGCTTCTTCTCATAAATTCCTCATGGTTCATGTGCCCCCCATGAAAGCTCAGTGATGGGGGGCTCCGGACTGATCCTGAGAGCAAGGTGGCCAAGCAAACCACTAGAGCTTAACCCTGCATTAGACCCCTGTGGGCTTTGCCTTTTGGCTTGTTGATCTGTGTCTTTACCTGGCAACCTTATTTGTTTCTATGATATTTGGTAGCAGGTGGTGCCATTTCTTGAGCATTATCATTAGGTATACTTAGTGTAAGAAAAGTGACCCCAATAAATGTAAGAACTACCTTCCATGAACTCACAAGTGAGTCTATATAAAGATAGATTCATCTTGTGAATAATTAGTCCTGGAATAATTGTGTGTGTGTGTGTGTGTGAAGATTGCATGTTATAAACCACACTATATCTTAACATATGGCTACTTTTTACTCATTGATTCTATTTTTCCTCCAACTGTAATGTGACAGGGATTGTCTGAAAAGATCAGTAACACTCAGTTCCTGTCTTCAAGTAGCTTACAGTCTAGACAGGGTGATAAGGCAGGGGCACGGGTAATAAAGTTTTAAGTGACAGCACGGTGCGTCCTCTGGCATGCATAAAGAAAGAGCCACATCAATTCAGAGGAAGGAGAGAGGGTCTCTGGCACTAGGCAGGGGTCCATGGAGGGAAGGAAGTGGTGGAGACTGAGAGACATGAAAGAAGATATTGGTGGTCAGGAGGCTGAGGTGTGGTGGGGTGTGGGGTGTGGTGGGGGTGTGTGGTGGGGTGGGGGGCACCACAGGTAGCCTCTCAAACCTTCCTTCCCATCCTCAGTGTCTGATTAGCCACCAAGTCCTATTGTTCTGGCTTTGTACTTGTTTTTTGTCTATCATCTCTGTTCTCTTTCTGCTTTCCATTTCTCTCATTATAAGGACTTCCTAACTGACCTATGAGCCACCAGTAGACTTACCTTCCTTAAAAACAAAGAACAAACTGAAAAAAGTCTCTAATCATACAATCTCTCCCACTTTGGCTCTTCATTGGCCTATTATTAGAACCTTCTACAGTCTGGATGGAATCCACTCTTTCTAACTCGTTTCCTAACACTCATGCCTGGCCCCAAACACCTTTCGAATTAGCTGCGACCCTTCAGAGTGTGACCTATGTGCATGTGCTGGCCCCTCCGGTTTGCCAGCTCCTCCCCCTCCAGCCTTTTCTTCCGTTCCTCACGGCCAAGTTTGTTTCTGCCTCAGAGCTTTTCCTTTGAGCTTTCTCTGTTCTGAAGACCCTGCCCTTAGATGATCTCATCGTTTGGATCTCAGCACCAAGACCTCCCCTGCCTACCTCATCTAAAAAAGCCTCCACATCACCCCATTTCACTTTGAAAAATTCAGGGTCCCTGCAAGGGTGTATAGAGCCTTTGCTGTAATTAGAAAAAGATGCGCCCACTGGCTGGTGCCGACTCCTCCCACCCGCTCAGCCGGGCCTCTGTGCAGGGGACACACTGCACATGTGCTTATAGCGGCCTGGAGAGCTGTGTCCCCAACAGAAATTATCTTGTTATTTGCCTATTTGTTCTTTGCAAATCTTCCCAGTTAGTTGTGTGAGTGCAAAAATCTTCTAAGTTTTTCAATATTCTCTCCAATACTTTATTTGTGGCTTTAACCCCAGGCCTTAGACTACTGTAGGCATTCAACAAATACTGGTTCAATGAATCAATGAAATCTGTAGTGCCTTGACTGAACCTCATTCTATACCATCTTAGGCCTCCACACATACATCTTCTAGAGTATTTATCCGTCTGTGTTGTCATTCACTCTCCATGATGTGTCTCCATTGCATTGGGTGCATCTTAAGGTTGGAGAATGTGTCTCATCACTTCTTGTGTTGTTTATTACAGTATCTGACAATCATGGGCCCTTAGTAAGACTTGGTTTGTGTTAATGCGTGAAGTTTTGAATCTCAATGCAAGGAAAGAAATGGTTCTACTCACATAAGGCAGTCTGAAGGAAAAACGTTCTTCCAGGGGAAAAGATGAGGTCCATTATGAGTTTGAGGTGTCAGCTGAACATTCAGATGAAAATGTCCAGAGGTGATGGGGAGTGTGGAACTTGAGAGAGCAGATGGGGGTCACAGGGAAGCTGCAGACATGGGTGATGATATTATTTAATAGGGGAAAGCTTATGGATGCCCGTCACAGATTGGGAGCCTGTGGCCTATGCTGGCCTACTGATTTTTTCCCCCCATCATCATGGTTCAAGAGTTTTCAAATTTGTTGCCTTTCTTTAAAAGTTAGGATATCTTCACACAAATTCCAGATTTCTGGCTCCCTTGGGGTATCAGATTAATGACATGGTGCTGAGGAGAGGCCCCCTAGAAGAGCTTCCTGT